TATCATGTTTGGTAAGGTAGAGGGTCAGAGAAAAAGAGAAAGACCCCCAGCAAGATGGATTGGCAAAGTGACAGCATCAATGAGCTCAAGTGTGGCAACAATTGTGAGGTTGGCCCAGGACCAGGCAGAAACTATAAACAGGGTCACTGTGAGTCAGACCAACTTGGCCCACAACCACCACACTCGATGTCTGTGTTTATAGCTTCAGTTTGAAGTGACTTGTTTTTATGTTAACGAAGCAGGATTAAGATGGGATGTATCTCAAATCACCACCCTTAGTTTCCTTGAGGATGTGGTCTTCAAATTAGCCATAATCTTTGATATCTGTGTAAAACCAAGAACTAACTTCCTGCTTTAAGCTATTTACCTTATTACCAAACTGTCAGCTTCCTGCTTAATTAATAAAAGCAGGACACTGGGTTTGCAGAACTGTCTGGGACCAGGTCTGGTTCAACTAGCATGCATAGTAATAATCAACGTTTCCTCTGCCTGAATTTTTGACATCACAAAATGGAAAACACACCTCCATCAACACACTGAACATGGGCAAAACACCATCTTTGTGACCCCCACCCCCATCCCAACTGGGGCTGCACAGAAATCTAGTGATGCATCATTGTGGTCAACACCAATCAGACACCAATTATTGCCCCCTCAACCCACCACTCATCTGTCAATCTGTAATGCTGTGTGGGCTTGTGCATTGATCTGAGCTGGAAGATACGCCACCAGCACTTTAAATACAACAGAGTACGCCTGTGGTGAACAGGTTTCGGTGGCGTTTGCAGATTAAAACAGACTAGGAAGAAGGAGAGGTAGACTATTTCAGAATGTTTAAGCCATTGAAAACCTTATGAATTACCCCAAAACATTGTCAGATATAGTACCAGGAGATAAGGCCCTCATGTTGGAAGGCATCAAAATATGACTGGGGAAGAGCAGCCTGCTCAAAGTAGAGTTCATCTTAATGACACAAAGGGAGTAAAACTTTTAGAACATTCATTTGCTGATGGGGCATTATTCAAAATGAAGAGGAGCAGCTATAAACATTCATTAATAATCAGAACATGGAATGTATAAAGTATGAATCTAGGAAAATTGGAAGTTGCAAAAATGAAATGGAACACTTAAAGATTGATATCCTAAGCAGTAATGAGAAGAAATGGACTGGTATTGGCCATTTTGAATCTGACAATCACACTGTTTACTAAGCTAGGAACAATAAAATCAAGAGGAATGGTGTAGCATTCATCATCAAAAAGAACATTTCAAGATCTATTTTGAAGTAAAATGTCTGTGATAGGACAATACCCATATGCTTACAAGGCAGACCAGTTAATACTACTATTATTCAAATTTACACACCAACAACTAAAGCCAATGATGATGAAATTGAATAATTCTACTAACTTCTTTAGTCTGAAATTGATCAAACATGCAATCAAGAGTATTATTGATAATTACTGGTGATTAGAATTCAAAGGTTGGAAATACAGAAGAAGGATCAGTTGTTGGAAAATATAGCCTTTTTAATAGACATTATTCAGGAGAAAACATGATAGAATTGTGAAAGACCAATGACTTATTTATTATAAATACCTTTTTAAACAACATAAATGATGACTATACACATACCCCTCACCAGATGGCATACACAGAAATCAAACTGACTACCTCTATGGTAAGGGACAGTGAAGAAGCTCAATATACATAATCATCCAAAACAAGGTCAGGAGCAGACTGTGGACCCGACCATCAATTGCTCATATATAAGATAATGCTGAAGCTGAAGAAAATGAAAACAATTCCATGAGAGTCAAAATATGACCTTGAATACTTCCCACCTAAATATAGAGATCATCTCAAGAAAAGATTTGATGCATTAGACACTAATGACTGAAGACCAGAAGAGATGTCGATGACATCAAGAACAGGATGCAGGAGGAAATTTAAAAATCACTTAAAAGACAGCAAAGAAAGAAAACACTAAAATGGAAGTCTGAAGACACTCTGAAACTTTCTCTCCAGTGTAGAGATGCTAAAGTGAATGGAAGAAATGAGGAAGAAAAGAGCTAAACAGCAAATGTCAAGTTCAGCTCGCGAAGACAAAGTCAAGTATTTTAATGAAATGTGGAAAGACTTGGAGTTTGAAAACTAAAAGGAAGGAACATGCTTATATTTTACAAGCTGAAAGAGCCGAAGAACAAAATTAAAGCCATGACTTTCAATATTAAGAATTCTATGGGCAAAATATTGAATGGTGCAAATAGTATTAAAAGAAGTTGGAAGATATATACTAAGTTACTCTACCAAAAAGGAATGGTCAATGTTCAACCATTTCAAGAGGTAGTATATCATCAAGAGCCAATGGTACTAAAGCAAGAAGTTCAATATGCACTGAAGGCATTGGCAAGGAACAAGCCTCCTGGAATTGATGGAATACAAATTGAAATCTTTCAACAAACTGATGGAGCACTGGAGACACTCAACTCGTCTATGCTAAGAACTATAGAAGGCAGGTACCTGGCCAACTGAATGGAAGAGATTCATATTTTTGGCTATTCTAAAGAGAGATTACCCAATGGAATGTCAAAATCATTGAACAATACCATAAATATGACATTTTT